TTCCCCATTCAATCACTTCCCTTTCTATCCTAAAGATATTAATTTTGTTTGTACAGAGGCTTTTCAGTTTCAAATAATCAAAGTTATCTATTTTATCTTTTGCCATTGCCTCTATCTCTTGTTTGGTTAAGAATACATCTCTTACCCACAGCTGCAAGAGGTTCATGACCTTTCCCTGGGCCATTGCCAGTTCTTCTGACCTATGTCTAGCCACTGGACTCTGATGACTCTGGAGGAGAGAGTGGGGCTGATGACTTTACATGGCTCTGCTTCATTTAAATCCAACTCACTTGCAAGTCAAGACCTCACCCTCCTGATATCACTGGTCCTCTATGAAAACAAAGGATGAAAAACAATCTATGAGTAGTAGTAGTAGCTACACCAGGGGAACCCAACAAGCCAGTTCCAGTTGGGCAATGCTGCTACTTTTTCCTCCTCCTCCTCTTCTTCCTCTTCCTCTCTCCACATGGGAAGACATACCCTTACATATCCAAAGGAATATAAATTTTGATTGTTTATATTTGCCAAGGTATCTTTTGGTCTGGGGGCTAGATTTTTTTTTCTTTCCTACTTATTTATTCTGTCTTTGATTTAGTTTTTTAACTGGGACAATTAACTCTCTTGTTTCATGTAGTTTTCATTTATGATTTCTTGAAATAGAGCTCTGAAAAATCAGGCTTTGATAAAGCCCACTTGGATTCAAATGGAGCTAATTGACTATCCTTTAAACCCAAATCACTCTGGCTCTCACTGATTGGTCAATACTAGGCCTCAGCCCAAGTCCTACTTGCTCATTGTTTGGGTTTTGGTGGCTCAGAGTGAGTGTAAATAGCAATTGTTTCTGTTCTGGCCAAAACCCCTGAGGATCTTCCCCTCCCTGATTGGTTCTTTTCTGAAGGCAAAGTAGGCCATCTTTTACCTCAGTTCTTACCTTGCCTTAATCACTGAATGGGTGTTGCTTCAGACAAACTGAAACCTGGGAAAGATCTTAGCTTAAAAAGGCCAAGGTCTCCTGGTGCATCATGAGCCAGCTCCAGTTGTTCTGACCTATGTCTTGCCTCTGGACTTTGACTCTGGAGGAGAGAGTAAGGCTGACGACTTTGCACAGCCCTGTTTCACTTAGAGCCATTTCACTGGCAAGATTTAAGACATCATCTTCCTGATATCATTGGTCCTCTACGAGAAGAAAGAACAAATGAACAACGATCTGTGAGTAGTAGTAGTAGCTGCCCCAGGGGAACTCAACAGGCCAGTTCCAGTTGGGCAATGCTGCTACTTTTTCCTCCTCTTCTTTCTCTTCCTCTCTCCACATGGGGAGACATACCCTTACATGTGGGTGCTCTATCCAAAGGAATATAAATTTTGATTGCTTATATTTCTTGAGGTATCTTTTGGTCTAGGGGCTAGATTTTTTTTCTTCTCTACTTATTTATTCTGTCATTGTTTTTTAACTGAGACAATTAACTCTCTTGTCTTGTGTAGTTTTCATTTATGATTTCTTGAAACATAGCTCTGGAAAACCAGGCTTTGATTAAGCCCATTGAGGATGATATCTAAAATCTAAAATCAAGGTGTGAGAGAGAAATGTACTGGGAGAAAGAGAAAGGGAGAGGTAGAATGGGGTAGAATTATCTCACATAAAAGAGGCAAGAAAAGGCTTTTACATTGGAGGGAAAGAGGGGAGATTGAGGGGGAGTGAGTGAACCTTGATCTTATCAGAATTGGCTCAAAGAGGGAATAAGATATACAGGCAACGGGTATAGAAAGCTATCTTACCTACAGCAAAGTAGAAGGGGAAGGGATAAGAAAAGGATGAGGGGAGGTGATAGAAGGGAGAGAAGATTTGGGGGAAGGGATAGTTGGAAGCAAAACACTCTTACAGAACTGTGTCAAATTTATAAAAATAAGAGCCATTCCCCAATTGATAAACCATCAAAAGATATAATCAGTTTTCAAATGAAGTCATTAAAGCTATCTACAGCCATATGAAAAAATATTCTAACTCACTATTGATTAGAGAAATGCAAATTTAAACAATTCTGAGGTACTACCTCATACCTATTAGTTTGGCTAATAGGAAAGAAAAGGTAAATGACAAATGTTGAAGGGGATTTGGGAAAAATGAGACATTGATGTACTGTTGCCAGAGTTGTGAACTGATTCAACCATTCTATAGAGCAATTTGAAACTGTGCCCAAAGGGCTATAAAACCATGCATACCCTTTGACCTAACAATACCACTACTAGGTCTGTATCCCAAAAGAGATAAAAAACAAAGGAAAAGGACCTATATATACAAAAATATTTATAGCAGCTCTTTTCTGGGGGTAAAACATTAGAAATTGAGGGGATACCCATCAGTTGAGGAATGGCTGAACAAGTTGTAACATATCATTATGCTGGAATACTATTGTACTCTGAGAAATGATGAGCAAGATGCTCTAAGAAAAAGCTGGAAAGACTTGCATGGGGGGATGTAAAGTGAAATGTACTGGGTACAAAGTAACAGCAATATTGTAAGATGATCAGCCATGAAGGATTTAGCTTTTCTTGAAATACAACAATCCAAGACAACTCTGAAGGACTTAGGATGAAAAATGCTATCCATCCCCAGAGAAAGTGTCTGAATACAGGTTGACACGTACTTTTTTTTTTTTACTTTATTTTTCTTGAGGTTTTTTTTTTGTCTGTTTTCTTTCACAACATGAGTATTACAGATACAGTTTGCATGACTGCACATATATAACCTATATGGAATTGCTTGCCTTCTCAGTGGGAGGGTGGGAGAGGGAGGAAGGGAGAGAATTTGGAAGTCAAAGTTTTAAAAACAAATTTAAAAATTGTTTTTACACATAACTGGGGGAAAATGAAATACTAAATAAACATAAAATTTTTTTTAAAAGATAAACCCCATTGGGATTCAAATGGAGCTACTTGACTATGCCTTTAAACCCAGCCCTAGCCTCACTTGCTCATTGTTTGGGTTTTGATGGCTTAGAGTGAGCATAAGTAGTAATCATTCTTGTTCTGGCCAGAAACTCTGAGGGTCTTCCCTTCTCTGCTTGATTCTTTTGTGAAGGCAAAGTAGGCCATCTTTCCCAGGTTTCGGTTTGTCGAAGCAACACCCATTCAGTGATTAAGGCTAGGTAAGAACTGAGGTAAATCTAACTTTTAACTGCTAATAGGTATTACCACTAGACGAACTGAGACTTGGGAAAGACTTTAGCTTAAAAAGGCCAAAGTCTCTGACTGCTTCCTGGGCCATCTCCAGTCATTCTAACCAATGTCTTCCCCCCACTTATTAGTATTTTATTTTTTTCCAATTACATGTAAAGATAGTTTAACATTCATTTTTATAAGATTTTGAGTTCCAAAGGTCATGGAAAGAGGATTAGTGACTTTGAGTCCTGACTGCCACTAACTTACTGGGTGACCTTGGGAAAGTTACTTAATTACTCTGGATCTCATTTTACCTAACTGTGAAAAAAGGGAATGGACTGAATAATTTTTCATACCCCATCCCACTCTAACAGTCTGTGTTCTAGGGTCCCTCCCTTTCAGCTCTGACATTCTATCAGAGGTAGTACTTAATGAGCATCTATAATCTTCATATTCTAGTTTGGGAAACTGAGGCCCAGAGAGGTTAAGTGACTTGTCATATAAGTAATTAGCAGCTTAAGGCTCAAGCCCAGGTCTTCTGGCTGTATTTCTACTACGGTCTCTCCCATTTCTGACCCACTAGGTTCTAGGATCCTTCCCAATTCTGACTATCAAAGTCCTTTTCAGGAGAATGTTTAGTATCCTTGTGCTTCAGAGAAGGCAAAAAGTAGGAGAGAATGCCACCTTTCCTTGAACTTCAGCAGCAGCTGGAGCATGGGCCTGTTGGGGCACAGTGTTTGGTGATTAAGATAATCACTGCTCACGTTTGGACAATGAAGAAAGACTCAATTCCCTGGCATGTGCCCCAGTTCCCAATGGGCAATCACAGAGTATCAGAGATTGAAAGGAACTTAGAAAATAGACATAAATCTATCAGATAGGGAAGGGCCCTTATAAGCCATCTAGATCAACATTTAATTTTATATATGGAGAAACTGAGTCCCAGACAGCCCAGAGAAAGAAAAGGATTTGCTCAAAGTCACACAGAAAATTAGAGGCAGAGTTAGGACCAGAATCCAGATTCTAGGACTGCATTAAGATCACCTGAGACTCCAGATTATCTCTTATTCTCCTAATCCCACCCACAATCATCTTTAAAATCTGACCCCAACTAACCCACTTTTAGCCTAGAGGCCATAGTTTTAGGTGTCTAATCTAGTAAGAACCCCTCTAGTCCCAGGGAGAAGCATTGAAGGGAAAGGAGTGGGGGGTGGACTAGAGGGAAGGTTGTCACCTGAGTATTTGCCAAGGGTATCAGGTGACCCTGGAATTCTCAGATCAATTTCCTCAGGTTGCCAGGCAAGAAGCAGAGGCCAAGTTAATGCTTAGCTGCCTGTTTGCCCCTCCTGAGAGGAGACCTGGGACCTGCCATGCAGGTAACCCAGGGAGGAGGAAGCACTGAGTGAAAGGAGAGACCTGGAGCAGATCGGGGGAGAGACAGACAGAGAGAGGGACAGAGGGGGACACAGACGGAGAGACAAGAGTTTTTCTGTGTCTTTTCATCCACTTCCAAGTAGTTAAGATGGGATAAGGAAGCTTTTCGTGGACTTCCCCTACCTTCCTCCAGCCCCAGACCTCTGTAGGAACAGGAAGGATGAGGTCTCGACAGGCTCCTGGTTCCAGACTGGCTTCTTTTTCTCCTCCCCAGTAGAAGATCTGGCAAGGTGACAGGGGCACTCCCCAACTCCTTCAGAGGCCCCGCTCTCCCTGGCTGTCATCTCCACCCATAGAGAGGGAGGGGGTGAGGGATGGGGAAAGGGGAGGAACAGGGGAAGCTAGGGGAGGGGGTTAAGACAGAGGGACCCAGAGAGTGGTTTATGAATCCCTCCCCTGCTGGGTGTGCTAGAGCTGACCTTGCTCAGACGTCTGGCATTGGTTCATGTGAGCACTAGGGCACTAAGTTCCCGAACTGCCCCCGGAGCCCAGACTTTTTCCCAAGTCAGGGCAGAGTGGTCTGGACCAGTGCCAATACTCACAACTCTCCCCTGGTCCTCTTGACACAGGCTGCCTCCAGGTAAATACTCTTGGGTCACGGGGCTCTTGGGAACTACAAGCTAAGGGGAATAGAGGGAGCTGGGAGGACTCTAGTGGGAGAACTGAGGAGGAGGCTTGACCAGGGAGGGTTCCTGCTGCCCTGCTCCAGCCTGAACACATCTCTGGTTCCATGGGCTTACAGGACCATGACCTGCCAGGGACTGCAGAGATCACTTAAGTCCAAGCCCCTTGTTTTCTAGATGAGGGAACTGACTGAAGCTCAGAGATAGACTTGCCCAAGATCACACCCTGATTAAGGGCCTGAGTCAGAACTTGAAACCAGGTCTTCTGGCATCAAATCCAGTCACTCCAATTTTATCTGGAGTCCTCACTGCTTCCGGAGGAAGATTTGGTTCTAGAGGCAGCCTTTCCTAGCCCCTTTTAATTCCAGTGCCTTCCCTCTGGTAATTATTTCCTATTTCTCCTGTGTAAAGCTTGTCTGTATATATTTATTTGCATGTAGCTTGTTAGCTCCTTGAGGGCAGAGACTATCTTTTGCCTCTTTTTGTATCATTGACACTTAGCACATAGTACCTGGCACCTAATAGGTATTTAATAAATTTTTACTTAGAGAACTGACTCTGAGACAGAGAACACCAGTGCCATGAGAAAACTAAGCCAATAGGATTGAAAAAGTTCAGGCTATAGTTTTTGCAGAAGCCTATATCCTTGTATTTCCAGTGTGGCTAATGAAGAATCAACAGGCATTTATTAGGGGCCTTTGGAGGAGTCTGAGGGGAGCTCCATGGTATATTACTGAGAAGGGCTATTCTTCTGGAGGACTTAGGAAGCAGGCTCTCCTGAGGGGGGAGGATGTCTTGAAGAGTTTCACCCCTTCCCTGCCCTAAGGACCCCAGGTCCTTGACCCTGCTTTTCCTCATCTTATTCTCACATCATAGCCCTTGTCATTTACTTATTCCTTTATAGCTAGAAGAAGCAGCTGGGACATAGTGGAAACAGCATGGTGGGATTTGGGTTTAGGGGACCCAGGTTTGATTCCCTGCCTTACTAGCTATGTAATAGGGAGCAAGTGATTTCCTTTTTCCATCCTGAAGTCTTTTCTGCTTCTGTAAAATGAGGATAATAGTCCAGCCCTCCCTCCTTACAGGGAAGGTGCAAGAATGAATAAGAAATCCTCTGTCAAGGAGTCTACAAAGTGCAAAACAGCAATGACATGGCAGCTAGCATGAGGTGCTTAGCCTTAATGAAAAGAGACCTAGATTTGGAATCAGAAGGTGTACTTCTACTTAACAATTTTGTGACTTTAAGTAAGTCACTTCTGCCTCAGTTGTTGTTCAGTTGTTTGTTTGCTTTTTCCAGTAGTGTCTGACTCTTCATGACTTTATTTGGGATTTTCTTGGCAAAGACACTGGAGTGATTGGCCATCTCCTTCTCCAGCTCATTTGAGAGATGAGGAAACTGAGGCAAACAGGGTGAAGTGACTTGTCGAGGGTCACACAACTAATAAATGTCTGAGGCCAGATCTGAACACAGGAAGACTTAGCTTCCTACTCCAGGTCCAGCGTTCTAACCACTGTGCCCCCTAACTGCCCTCTGCCTCAGTTACCTTCTCTGTAAATTAGTTGAACTTGAAGCTCCTAATGTTCTAAGGTCCCTTTCAGCTCAAGCATTCTGTGGTTCTAATCATACCCCACTCTAAGCATCCAGATGCTTTCACTCCTTCCCATTAGGACCTAGTCAGGTCACTCTCATGCCAGGCTCCTTCTATTCTGTCCCTTCTAGCTCTAAAATATGATCTTCATCCTGGCTATCTGATTCTGCCAGCTTGCAGAAATTCCTAGCAGGGATCATTGGATAGCAGAAGGGGAGATAGAGAGCTGGAAGGGACCCCAAAGGCCATCTAGTAAAACCCCTTCATTTTACTGATGAGGAAGCCAGGGCTCAGAAAGATAAAGTGACATGTCCAAGCTCCCAGAGGTAGTAAGTATCTAAGGCAGGATTTGAATCTAGTTTTGTCCCTAGAACCAGTGCATCATCTATCTACTCCACTTCAGTAATGATGAGGCTAAGGAGCACACCCAGGGAGTTGACATGCATAGCACCTTGAGTGCTGTAGTTTGACAAACCTCTGAGATACCCTTTGACTGGGACAACAAGGAAAAAATTAAAAGCCATTCTAGATAGTATGTGCTTGAGTATCTGATTTGCATGGTACAGACTGTAAGTACCAAAATAGTTCAAAAAAAGGGAGTGATAACTGTGGACTTGAGAATCCCTGCTCTTGGACTCAAAAAAGATCGTAGATTTTGAGCTGGGAGGAGCCTTAGACAGCACCTAATCCAATCTCTTCATTTTACAGTTGGAGAAACTGGGCCGAGAGAGAGGTTAAATATATACACAAGGTCCCATAAACTCCTAAAATGGCACAGCTGAGGTCTGGTCCCAGTTCTTCTTACTATGTGACCTTGGGAAATCATTTTCTTTTTCTAGGCCTTGGTTTTCTCCCTTTTCAAATAAAGAGACTAGACTAGATGGTCCAGAGCTCTTCCAATCCTGATATTCCAGGGCTCTTTAATTATTTCAGGAAGATTTTCTGAGGAGATAAGACCAGATTCTGACCTTAAAGGATGGCCAGGGTTTAGAGAGGCAGAATTTGAAAAGGCAGAAATGGAGCTATAGCAGTCCAAGTTGTGGAGAACAGAGTGAGTACATGTCTAAGGACAGAATGAGTCTGATGTGTGGGATCTGACTAAAGTGGAAGGCCTTCATGAGAAGGAATGGATACAATGAGGGATGGTTAAAATGAGGCATAATTAGTAGAATCATAGTCTCACAGAGCTGAAAGGGATCTTAGAACAAGTAATGTCAGCACACAAAAGGATCCCAGAAGAAGAGGGAAGAGAGTGAAAATGGGAAGGGACACTAGAAAACAGAATATTAGCCATAAAGACCTATGTAAATATTCTGATTGGACAAATGGAATAACTGAGGTCCAGAGAAGGGAAGGCATTTTGCCCATGGTCACCCAGGAAACATGGTAGAATTGAAAACTTCAACTCAGGTCTCCTTATTCCTAGACTTAGATCTAATGCTACTTCAGCTAGAACAAAACAAACAAACAAAAAAATATTTGGACAAAAAGGGCCTTTGCAGGAAAGGTGGGATTTAGACCTACTAGGCCTGGATTGGGGGTGGGTATTCCAGGGGAGATGGGGAAAAGATTATGAGGGATGAAGGAGTGTGAGTCAATGAAGTTAGCCTGACTAGAATGGAAAGGGGAGAAAATAATGACCAGATCTTTCTGCTCCCAAATATTCTTAATCAAATCACCCAACTCTTTCAAAACTGGGTTGCAAATAAAAAGCAGAAACCAACACAAAGCTCTTTAAAGAAAGAAAAGAAATTAGCTAGGGGAGTTGGGGAAGGGAGTAAAAGGGAGGAACTGGGTTTCAAGCTAAAAAGGATTTGAGGGACAGTCACCCAAGAAAAAAAGTGTTGGACTTGGAATCACAGGGTTTAGGTTCAAACCCAGATCTGCTATTGTGTGACTTTAGGCAAGATCCACTCCCTCACTGGGCCTAAATTTCTTCTGTCAAATGTAGTTCAAGAACTCTAAAGTTCTCTGAGCTATAAATCCCTTGGGGGCCCTGAATCTGAGCCCTTCCCTTAGGAAGGGTGCCAGTGGAGGCAAGAAAGAACCAAGGAATAGCCTAAAGAAAATTCCTTCTTTCAGGAAGTCCTCCTGAAAATCAGGAGAACTAAGCCAGCCAGTTCTGACTCATGACAAGAGATCAGATAGTTAAAGCCACTGTGAACCTCACCCCTGGATTATGTTCAGTGTCAATGTTTGCCCAATTTATAACACCTAACATGCAGGAGGGATCACTTTGTTCCATCAGGGGGTGGCTGCCAGTCATCTCTTTGGCCTCAGTGTCCCAGCCTTTTGGAGGATGGGGAGTTCTGTTTTTCAAATCCATGACTGTATCGGAGAGAGTGAGGAATGATTGGTACAGTGGGAAGAACAGATCCACCAAAGACCTGGATTTGAATTCTGTCTCTAACTTACTTACCCAGACTGCCTTCTGGGTAAAGCCATGACGTTGGAGCAGGGAGTCTTTAAAGTCCCTTCTAACTCTAAGGCATGTTACTTTATTTGTAGAGCTCCATTAGAAAGGAGTCAGGACCTCCAACGGTTGCTTCCAGCTCTAAAGCTGGGATTCTACTTGGCCCTGTTCCACTATGTGGATGGTTCATATATTTAGAGCTGCCTAAGAAGTCATCTAATCCATCCCTCCTCACTTTATAGATGAAGAAACTAAGGCACAGAGAGGTTAAGTGACTTACCCAGGGTCACACAACTACTTTCTGAGGCAAGAATTTGAACCTAGGTCTTCCTGATAACAAATCCAGTGCCCTATCCACTATACTGGGCTGTCTCAATAGGTAAACAACTACCTACCATTTCAGCTCTTCAGGTTATACAAAGGCAATTTATCTCATAGCCAAATTTCAAAGCAGTGGAATAACCTGTGAGACAGGTGAACCTCTTAGCACTTCCTGGAGAAACATGTAACTTCCCTTCCCACTCCTGCTAACACTGATCCTAATGCTAATAGAGTAGAGAAACCCAACCATGACTCAGAAGACTAACCCTTCTTTCAACCTTAAGGTTTCTCCAAAACCAGGAGAGGAAGAACTAAGAGAACTATTACTTCCCTATCCCTCCAATTTCCCTCCTTGCACCCCTTTGGTACCTCCCACAACAATTCCTCCTTATATCCTGCTAAAGGATTGAGCAGTTGGCAGGAGGATTCTAGGACAAAGCTGATCGCTTTCAGATATAGACCTTATACCCATCCTTGGGAAGGAGTGATTTAGCTCAAGCTCCCTGCCCTCCCCTGAATAGCCAAAGCAGGGTCAAGGTTATTGCTGTGGGGAATGAGGTTGAACAAAGTCTGTCACGCTCCAATAAACATTCACTAAGCATCTACTATGTGCCAGGCACCGTGCTAAGTACTGGGGATACAATTAAGAAAAAGAAAGTTTTGGTTTTTTTTTTTCAGACAGTCCCAACTGGTAACCCAGGTTCACTAGAGCCAAACACATGCCCATCAGCTCCACCCCTGCTAAACAAGGCCACTCCAGCCACAGTTCAGAGAACCCTCTTCCTTATTTCTGTTTCCTTCTTTGTGAAATTGGGATGTAAGAGGTGCCATGCCCTAGGGGGTCCAGGGCAAGTCTTGGAGCCAGGAAAGCCTGTGCTCACAAACACATACTAGCTATGTGAGCACAAGAATGTTACTTAATTTCTCAACTCACCAGGAAATTCTCTCTAAGCTGGTTAAATTATAGATGAGTTGCTTATCTACAATAGCAGAAGGAGTTTCCACTTGCCAAGACAGGTCTTGAACAAAAATATAAAATGAGTTTCATTCCTGCCCTGCCTCTTCCTGGCTGTGAGGCCCAAATGAAGGTTGGGAAAGTGCTTAGAAAAGTATTATGTGTTGCAGATAAAGTAGCTTCCAGTCTCCTCTCAACCCAGGCTTACAGTTCTAACTGGTCCAGGAGAGAACCCTAGGGACTAAGGAAGGTTCTGTTTCTCCCTCTGTTTCTCAGTTCTTCTCTCCCTGCCTCTTTCTTCTTCTCTGACTTTCTCCTGTCTCTCTTTCTCTCCCTATGTCTCACTCATTCACTCTTCTCTCTCTCCCATCTACTTTCTCTACTTCTGCTGTCTCTCCCTGTCTGTTGACCACTCATTCTTTCCCTCTGTCTAACCCTCAGGCCCTCCAGCTCTTTCTCACTCTATCTCTCCTTTGTTCACTCTATATTTTTATATCTCTTTTGATTCTCTTTGGACATTCAGGAAACAAGGTCCTTTCTGGCCAGTTACCCAAACAAAACCTCCACTTCAAGCCAAAATGCTCTGCTGGCAATGTCTCCTCTCCCCTCCTACCTGGATCTCCTTGCTCACATACACCCAAGTGGTTGCTTCATTTTCCCACTACCACCAGACATTTGTCTCTCAACAATTTTTAAGCTACCCTCCTCCTGCTTCTCGTCACATACATATCCTTTCTAGTTTCTACTGGTCCACACTCCTCCCACTTCCCTCAGTCCCTCCCGAGTAGAGCTCATTTTTGTAATTCATTGTCAGGCTTCCTGGCCATCTGTCTCCTGACTGATGGTCCAACCTCTTTCCGTCTCTGGGCCTCAGTTTCTCCTCTGTATAAAAAGGGGTCCAACTAGGTGGCCCTGAAGATTCCTCCCAGATCTAACATTCTGTGTTCTAATGCTCCTTCCCAGCTCTGATGTACATGATTCTATGCTGTTCAAACGTCTTCATCTGCTCTCACTAAGCCTTGTGAAGAAATTAGGGAGGAAGGGAGAGAGAGGAGGGGAGAATTTATGCCAATGATAGAACAATTTATAATATTCCCCTTTGAAATTAGCTGCTAAAATATGGGCACAAGGTACAAAAGCTCTGTGGGTAAATAACAGCAAATTAAACAACTTTCTTTTCCCTTCAATAGGTGGATCCCTAGACAATCCTGGAGGTCCCCAAGGAAGCCCAGGGAAAGAGGTACCATGGCTCTGCTCACCCACCTATTAGTCTGCATCTTTGGCTCTGGCTCCTGGGTGGCCATCAATGGACTCTGGGTAGAGTTGCCTCTGCTAGTAACAAAACTGCCTGAAGGTTGGTACCTACCCTCCTACCTCACAATCATCATCCAGCTAGCCAATGTGGGGCCACTCTTCATCACCCTTCTTCACCGATTCCGGCCTGGCTACCTCTCTGAGGTCCCAGTCATCTATGTTGTGCTGGCCCTGGGCACAACTGCCTGCTTCCTCTTCGCTTTCCTGTGGGAGAAGACTTCAGTGGTGGCTGGTGTTCTGCATAGCACAGCTTTCCTGGTCCTCACCTTCTTCCTGGCCCTAGTGGACTGCACCTCCTCTGTCACTTTCCTACCCTTCATGGCCCGCCTGCCAGCCCAGTACCTCACTTCCTTCTTTGTTGGGGAAGGGCTAAGCGGTCTCCTCCCTGCTCTGGTGGCTCTGGCCCAGGGATCAGGGCTCAACAGCTGTTCCCAAGTCACCAACAGCTCTATAACCACTGAGCCACCTAACATCACTAAAGCATCCTTCACCCTTGGGTCACTGAACATCACTCTGAACCCTGACCTCACCACCAGCACCCCCCAGCTGGAGACCTGCTACATACCAGCCAATTTCTCCCCTTTTGTCTTCTTTCTCCTGCTGACAATCATGATGGCCTGCTGCCTGACTGCCTTCTTCGGCCTGACTCGGCTCCCTAAGCAGTGGGAGCTCTCGACTGAGGACCTCCTGGTCAGCCAGGTGACTCTCAGATCCTTCCAGCTCCAGGAAGCCTCAGCTGGCAGCAGCAACAGAGACAGCTGCCTATCAGTGGCCAGGCCTGAGGAGAAGAAGACCACTGTCTGGCCACAGGCCCAATTAGCCTTCATCTATATCCTGGTGGTCTTCACGAATGCCCTCACCAATGGAATCCTTCCTTCTGTTCAGACTTACTCCTGCATGTCTTACGGTTCTGTGGCCTACCACTTGTCTGCAACACTTAGTGCCATGGCGAACCCCCTCGCTTGCCTCCTGGCTATGTGCCTGCCCAGCAGGTAGGTGACACTGGCCCCTGAAGGATCTCTCCATTAGAGGGGTGGGGAGTGGGGTAAACAAGAGTTAACGACAGGGAAAGGAGAGGGTAACTTAGGAGCAGCCCCACAGAGAGGCAGAACGATGCAGTGCATTAAAAAAAGTCCATAAAACATTTAGCAGGAAATAAGAACCTCTGGGTTCTAATCCCAGCTCTGCCATTAACTTAGGCAAATCACACCCCCTCTCTTAGCCTCAGTTTCCTCTCCCTCTAGCCCAATACTTATTAAACTGTGGGTCACCACCCCATAGAGGGTTGCAAAATATTTGGCAACAGTAAAAGGTTTCCGAACATGCAAGACCAAAAATTAATTCAGAATCAAATGTTTAATGAATCTGAGGTGTTTCTGGCATCTCTTGCCTGTATTGTATCATACAACTTCATTGCAGGCTTGGTTCTGAACACAAAGAATGCACACTTTGCACTTCAATGCCCTCAGGCCACACACCCCCAAGCAAACACTGCCTGACTGTGAAAAAGGGTCTTTGAGTGGAAAAAGTTTAAGAAGTCCTACTCTAGCCTAATCAAAATTAAAGAATAGACCCCCAGCTGGAAGGGACCTCAGAGCCCATCTGGCCCAAGGGTTCTTAACCTAGATTCTGTGACCTGGGTTTTTCAAAAAATATTTGTGTTTTATTGTGTATTTTAAAACATTATTGTGAGAAAGGATCCATAAGCTCTGCCAGACTGTCAAAGGATTCTGATTAAAAAAAATCATGAAAAACTGGTGATCTAATCCAACTTCTCATCTTGCAGATAAGGAAATTTGAGGCCTAGAGATGTTAATAAATTACGCAGTTTAAATGTTGATTGATTGATCTATTTATGTTATAGACCAAGTTTATAACTTATAGATAACTAAAGAAAGATAAATTGAAGAGGAAGAGAACACAGATAACTAAAAGGTCTTGAGAGATACAGGAGTGCTTTGCCATTTCCTTCTCTGGCTCATTTTACAGATAAGGAAACTGAGACAGGGTTAGGTTATTTGACCAAGGTCACACAGCTAGTATCTGGGGTCAAATTTGAACTTAGGTTTTCCTGACTTGAGGTCCAGTGCTCTATCCACTGCACCACCTAGCTGCCTGTTCTTAGATGAAGAGATACTAAATGTCAAATCCAGATTTAAATCCTACATCTCTAGAACTGTTGAATGCTCTTTCCACTGGACCACACTGATCTTTCAGGTCCTGTCCATCTGGAATATTCCAGAGCAAAGACTCAGTGAATTTCTGTCCCTGTGCTAGAGCCAGGCCCAGATGTTTTCATTTGTGCCAAGTCACTACTGAAGTCATCTGACATTAGTTCCCCCCAGTCTTAAATCTTGACACTTTTAAAACACCCTGACTGTTATCCTTTTTGATTTTCCTACCTCTGGGTGGGGGGGAGCAAGATTGGTGGTTGGAAGTAGGGAGAGGGGTCATGGGGGATGAGTTCAGCTGCCTGGCTTGTTTGGATTCCAGGTCCCAGTTGAGTGTTACCTCCCACCTTGAGTATAAGAAGGCTGGTAGATACTATATTGAAAAGTAAAATACCAAAGGATCTGGTAGACACACAGGCCTGTGTCCATCACATAAGTTGAATTGCCCTGTGTGCAGAGCCCTATATTAGGGGTTATGGGCCTTGGAGAAACAAAGACATGGAAGACGCTGTCCCTCCCCTCCAGGACATTATAGGTTCTTGGCTGAGACAGTGTTCACATACAGAAAAAGAGCTGAAGAACATTTACAATGCTAACATAAACAAGTCCAAATGAGTGTTACAGAGCTTAGAAGGACCTTAAAAAGTAGATAGTGATATGGCTAGGAACCGGCCCTGTGACTTCATTTGTGGAAGGGAACTCCCAGATAAGGCAGCTCCTTCTAGGAATACAGTTCCAGTTTGGCACCTTCCCTTAAAGTCTTAGGAAATTGCTTAGCATCCTGGGAAGTTGGTAAAGTTGCCAAAGGTCACACAGTATGTCAGAGGAAGGACTTGAACCCTGGTCTTCCTGGGTGCAAGAGCAGTTCCCTATCAATTATGTCAGTGTTGGAAGATACCCTAGTCAAACACTGCCATAATTACAGATTGGGAAACTGAGGCTTAAAAAGAAGAGACTTCCCCAAGGGGATAAGAGATTAAATAGCAGAGACAGTAATATTTCCCCTGGGTCCCCAGGCCTATCACATTCTTCCATGGCTGCTGGCAGGTGATCTAATCATATTTGGATCGGGTAAAGTCTTCCTCTCAGAAGTTTACTTTGGAGGTGTGGATAATGGGAGAGACAGTGACAAGTGAGTAGGGGACCTTTTGCTTCCCTCCTCAGGTCTCTCTTGTGGCTGGGAGTCATCACAGTGGTGGGCACTGGTTTTGGAGCCTACAACATGGCCATGGCTGTCCTGAGTCCCTGCCCTCTGCTAAAGGGCTCCCACTGGGGAGAAGCCATCATCGTGAGTAATTTCTTCCCTCCTCTCTCCTTCCATCCTCCCCTCTTCTCCCGTTCTCTGTCTCAGTTCCTTCTAGGCCACAGTATCAGACCATCTGTTTGGTTTGGGGGTGGGCATGGGAAAGTCATCTCAGATAGCCTCCCATTGGTGCTGAAGGGAAAACAGCTTGCTATTGGGGCTCCATTTACACTGGCAGGTCAGCTCCATAGGGTTCTTTTTGCCATGGAGGACCCTATCTAAAGGGAAAGAGTACATCTTCCTTTGTGCTTTCAGGTTATCTCTTGGGTGCTTTTCACTGGGACCCTGAGCTATGTGAAGGTGATGACTGGAGTGCTCCTGCGTGACCTGAGCCACAGCGCCCTCGTGTGGTGTGGCGCAGCAGAACAAATGGGGTCTGCATTTGGGGCGATACTCATGTTTCCTCTTGTCAATGTGTTGAACCTTTTTAAGTCTGCCGACGGAAGCAGCCAGCAGTGCCCCAGCTGATCATGCACCAAGACAATCTTTCTGGGCTGAATTTCACTGGGCCAGGAGAGCCAAAGACATGGAGAGCCAATCACACCCTCAGACATTGGCATAGACACTACCAGTTCTCCTTTCCCCACCTCTACCCCCAGCAGGGTTAAAGCTTCCATTACTTGAGCTATCAGTGAAGACACCACTGCTATCTCCAAGAGTCACAGCCACAAATTCCACTCTTAGATAGTCAGGACCTTGGTCAGTGTTTTTAGAAACCATTTTTATTGGCTTTGGGGTACCTGCTCTGCCTCTGGGGAAAAGTAGGCTAGCCCACAGGCCAAGTTGCCTGGAACCCTGAGAGGTTAAGGAGCTTGCCCAGGATCATACAGCCAGTATGTGACAGCAACAAGACTTGAACCCAGGTCTTCCTGAGACTTGGTTTCTATCCACTACAGCACACTTCTTTGCTTTTGTACTTCAAATAAGTTCATGCATTCATTTCTAAAATAAAATCAGTTTTCTACTTATTCAATGCAACAATTAATCTATTAAATGCCTGCTATATTATGCTATGCACTGGAGATATGAAAAGGAAATGTTAAAAAAACAAACAAACAAACAAACCTCACACCCCTAAAGCTTACATTCTAATGGGGGAATTCAATTTGTAAATAGAAAAACACATTGGGATAAGAAGAGTGTGCTAATTAAGCATACTGGGAGAGGCTTCCCACAGGAGGTGGCATCTGAGCAGAGTTTTAAAAGAAGCTAAGGATTCTAAAAGGCAGAGGTGAGAAGATAGGACATTCCAGACAAGAGGACAGCTTGTGAAAAATCCTGAAGATATATGAGGGAATGCTGAGATTAGAAAATAGTTGGAATATAGAATACATGAAGGGAAGTAATATGAGATAAATCTGGAATTTGAGGCTTAGTGTTAGATTAGGAGGAGTTTTCAGTGCCAGAATGAAGGGTTCCTATTTTATCCTAGAAACAATAGAGAGTCAATTAAAGTCTTTATCTGGGGAATGGCATGGTCTGACCTGTGATTTAGGAAGATTACATTGCTCTTGCATGGAGAATGGATTGGAGAGAGGAGAGACCAAAGCTGAAACCAACTAGGAAATTATTACAATAGTCTAAGCAAGAAGTCTTCAACTGAACTGCTGGCCAGATTCTTCCATTGTTGAGTTCCTCCTAGGCCTCCATTTCGGGAAAGGCCCAGGTTAGCCAAGCTTTGTTCCCCACCAGAATTTCAGTACCCTTCTCCACCCCCAGTACTTTCACCCACCCAATTTTTCTTCCCCCATTAGAATTCAAACTCCTTGAGGTCAGGAATTGTCTTTTTTTTTTGCTTGAATTAGTATGTCTAGCACTTAAACAAAATTCCTGGCAAACAGTACTTAATAAATGTTTGTGGTCTACCAGTTGCCAGAACTAGGGAAGTAGTTTGAATGGAGAGAAAGGCATGAATGACAGAGATGTAATAAAGATAGAATTGACAAATTTTGGCAACTGGTGGAATTGGGGTGGAGGAAGTGATAAAGGAGGAAGAAGAAGAAAAGATTACTCTTGAGGTTGTAAACCTGAATGCCTGGAAATGGAAACAATGGTGGTACCTCAACCAAAAAAGGGAAGGTTGACAAAAAGGATGGGTTTAATAGGAGAAAATTATAAGTTCTGTTTTGGACATGTTAAATTTGAAATGCGTATGAGACATGCATGTAAAGATATCCAACAGTTTGTGATGCAGAACTGGAGATTGAGAGAGATGAGGGCTGGACTATGTATAATTTAGGTATTTTGGTCTCACTCTCAAGAGCATAGGTATGATCATTGATTTCAATGAATATATTTAATCTAATGGGATCACAGAGAGAAAGCAACAGAAAAAGAAAGAAGTAGAGGGAGAGAAGAGACTAGGATAGAGCTTTGAGGTACACCCACAGTCCAGAGGTAGAACAGATCCTGTGCATGCAACAAAGCAGCCTGAGAAAGAATGATCAAACAAAGAGGGGGAAAAAAAACGAGAGCAGTGTCAAAAGAAGTCATGAGGAAATCGGATCTAAGAGGAAGACATGATTAACAGTGTCAAAACCTGCAGAGAAGTCAAGGTGGGTGAGTTTATCTATAAAAGGAAGAAGAGATATCAGATGCTAGCTGGAGGGGATAGGAGGGTCAACTGAAGGGTTTTTAATGATGAGAATGACCTGGGCACCTAGGCCCATGTAGTGTGGAAGGAGCCTGTAGAAAAGGAGGTTTAAAAGAGACAGATCAAAGGGGCAAAATCCTGGAGCAGAGAAAAAGGGATGGGATCAAGGGCACAGGTAGAGAGGTTGACCTTGGCAAAGTGAAAGGTTAACTTCTACCAGAAAGTAAAGCAGAGGAGGGAAATGAGGCAGATGTGGATGAATGAGATATACTATAAAATGAAAGGTGAGCTACCAACGAATAGCCTTCTCAGTAAAGTAGGCAAGGACCTCTGCTGATAGGGCAAGAGAAGCATGCGTGCTGTCTAAAGCTCAAGCGGAAAGAAGGTGTGGAACTGCCCAGTCTGGGAGGATGAGAAAGTCAATCAGAAGACTAAGAGGTTTGCTGTGCAGCAGTGAGCCCCCAGCTGAGATTAGAAAACTTATCTTTTAATGGACCCAATGATTTCCAACTGCAGCAGGGGAGTAGAGCTGAAGAAACTGAATAGAGAGCGTAACCTAGAGCTGGAGTCTATCAAAGCATAAGCAGAAAACACAAGGTGGTGAGAGATTCTAAGATTAGTCTACACATCCATTGCAGGAATCTATAAAATCAGCTTTTTATCTCTTCCAAGACAAAGAGGATCAGAGCTCATAACTATTCCAGGATCAGGAAACCCTCAAATTTCAGGAGATAAAAAGTTTAAAAGTGTCAGGACTGGATGAGATATTAGAATGATAATGATCAGTGATAACAACAACAATAGCATTTACATAACCCTTTAAGAGTTTGAGGAGTGTTTTACCCAAGTTACCTCATTTGGTCCTCACAACAACCTTTTGCTTTTATTGCCCCCATTTTACAAATGAGAAAACTGAGGCCTAGAGAGGCTAAATGGCTTAGCCAGAGTCACACAATAAATGTCCAAGGTAAGATTTTCACTCAGGTCTTTTGAGACACCAGTTCCAGCACTTCATCACCAATCAGTTGTCATAACTAGCATTTACATAACACTTTAATGTTTGCAAAGCACTTTAAATGTCATTTCTCATTTGATCTTTACAAAGACCCTGTGGAGCAGGTGTTATTATCCCCCATTTTGTTGAGAAAATTGGGGAAAAAGTTAAGTGACTTGCCCAGACTCACATATCTAGTAAGTGTCTGGTTCAGGATTTGGATTCAGGTTTTCCTAACTCCAAATGCAGCCAGTGGATAGAGTACTGGGCCTGTAATCAGGAAGACTCATCTTCCTGAGTTCAAATCTAGCCTCAGACAGTTATTAGCTGTGTGACCTTGGGCAAGTCACTTAACCCTGTTTGCCTCAGTTCCTCATCTGTAAAATGAGCTGGAGAAGGAAATGGCAAATCACTCTAGTATCTTTGCCAAGAAAATCCCAAATGGGGCCACAAATTGTTGTACGGGAATGAAAAACAACAACAGCATCCACTATACTACTAGCTGTTCTAGAAAACAGTATTAAGCTAAGCGTGGTGGATCTCTTCAGCATGGCAACTCTGAGATGCGGTAGGCTATGTCAATAAGTTTGGCATCAATATAATGAAGTCCAAGGAATGTGGGGGCCGCCAGGATGCCTAAGGAGGGGTAAGTTAGCCCAGGTCAAAAATAGAGCAGGTCAAAGCTCTTGTGCAAATCCTGTGAGTAGCGCCAGTATTTCTAGCCTCAGAAAATCTTGACAATATCGCAGAGGTGATGGAATCACAGAATCATAGATTGAGAGTCAGAAGAGATATTAGAATGCATCTAATACAAACCATCTTCCCCACAAGGCTTCCTTCTCCCCACCCACCAGCTGCTAATTGCCCTCCACCCAAACCCCCTTGTCTTCAACCACATTATATTTATTCTCTTTATAGTTCTTTTCTGTCTACTTCTGTATGTAACTTATCTTCCTACTATGTAACCTATCTGCCTACAAAGAAACTGAAAATCTCCCAAAACAGAAATGTCACCCAAGTGTGCAAGTAGCACAGCTGATCTTCAGACACAGGTCCTAGGCCCCAATTAGAATGGAAATTTCTTGCACAAAATGATTGATTTTACTTGTATTCCTCCACCTCCATCACAGTGCCTGGCACATAGTAGGTGTTTAATATGAACTGATTGATAGATTACAGAAGAGCAAACTGAAGCACAGAGTGAGCAGGAACTTTGTCCAAAGGGCACACCCATAATTGGTGGCAAAACTAGGAATCAGAAATCAGTTCTCCTAATTCCTCCTAGTCCAGGGCTCCAATCACCTGGGACAGAAAGAAGAGTCTTCTTGGATTCTGTTCTGCCCTGCTCCCACTCCTCATCTCCCATACATGCCTTTCCTTTCTACCCACCACTCCAACCTCTGATCCTTCAAGTGCTGCCAGTTATAACACAAGAGAAGTAGCCTTGAAAAGGCACAAAATGTACCCAAAGGTTTTCCGTTTTTCCCACATATCTGGAGCAACCTCACACTTCCTGAGCCTGGGGAACGAAAAAAAGCATTCAATACAAAAGGTTAGGTTTCAATCCACAAGTCTTTACTGACACTTGGAAGCAGTTCTGAAGGAGCTAGGGCTGGGGCTGGGGCAGGGACTGGGGCTGGGACTGGGGCTGGGACCGGGAGAGGGAGGAAATGGAACAGAAAGGAGACAGAGATGAGAGGGAGGGGGAAATCTGTGCCTGGCTCTATGGAGGATTCCATAGAAGAAAGCTCAGCTTTACCCAGACAAAATCCAAGTGAAACAGTTCAAGGCTGAATTGTCTTTAACTATAAGTACACAGAGGAGGATGAGGTCAGTGTCAACTGGGAGAATCAGAGAAGACTTTCCACTCCCTCCCCCTCTTCCTCCTCCTTCTCTCCCCTCCCTGTTTTGCCTACGAAGAAACTGAAAATCTCCCAAAACAGAAATGTCACCCAAGTGTGTAAGTAGCACTGCTGATCTTCAGACACAGGTCCTAGGACCCCAAATCCAGCATGCTTTCCATTATGGTACACTGCCTGTCCTCAGATTATAGGAAAGAGTTTGGATGTTCCAGAAATGGTGAGATGGGACAGTTCAGGCTGGAGTGAACACTATGTATCAAGGAGCCCAGGGAGCTGACAATAGTAACAATTGTTCATCTTGTCTCTAACACTGTACAACTTATAAAGCACCAACAGCCTTTTGAAGGAGGCAGTGCAGGTTTCTTATCTCCACGTTACAGATGAGAAAATTGAGGCCTAGAGAGGGAGAGTAATGTCACCAAGGTCAGAAGGAGAATTAGTGACAATGGCGAGACTAGTTGACCAGTCCATGGTACATTATGACATACAATTAATTCCATTA